CAGACTGGATTCCACCTTCTCTCCTTATGAGGGTGCACACACACACACACACACACACGCACGCACGCACGCACGCACACACACACACACACACACACCTCTTTTAACTTCCATTCATTTTAGTGACTCCACTATGCCTAACTCATACCCTAACCCAAACTAATGGAGTTCTACTCATAACCCTAACTTCAACTAATCCAAACAAAAGGTTAACTCACACCATACCTCTAAAACACATTTTAGGATAGTCAGCATTGTGTGGACCAGCAAAATGTCCCCACAATGTAAAATTTTCCACATTGTAACGTGAGGAAATATGGGTTTTCTGTCACAAAGGTGGTGTTTGGCCCAGCTGGGTCAAGAGCTGGGTCGCTCAGAACTTTCACCCACAGATTAACACCGGAGCCGACATGAAGTCTGCAAGATTCAACAGCAAACCACAACATCCCACACCTGCAGCTTCCAGCAGGAGTTCTCATGAAAGCTAGTCATAACACAGAAAAGTCTTAAACTTCCTTTTCTTTATTTTAAATGTTAAAAGATTAATCATTATCATTTTGCTCATTATAAATGTGTTTTAATCAAATGAAGGATTATTATGCTTTGGGTAATTATAATGGATTAATGAACTCATACTTAATTAAATAATGTTTGAGGATGTTTGTTAACGACCTTCACACACTCAAGCACACACACACTCAAACACACCCACACACATCTGCTCTCACAGTAAACTCCAAAACACATTTGCTGACGCACACGTTTGCTTTGAGAAGAGAAAGGTTTTTGGTAAGTTTCCAGTTTATTGATTCAGTTCGTGCTTGACAACGAAAGAGAGAAGACCTGAATAAACGCAAAAGGGGGGACAGAGCCGATCGGCTCATTCCCCCCACCCCCCCACGATATTCCACAGGAACAGCTGAATTGCAACAACTAACGCAGACTCATCCAGGGTCTTTGTTTTCTGAGTGAACTAAACTTAAGAAACGCATCTGCAAACGTTTTAACATCAACGTGTACCGTGGGCATCTCTGGACCGGGTCGCAGGACATCTACGTCTTCTCTGCCAGCCGCTGGTGTCACCTGGATGAAACATCACCATCCTCTGGCGTCCCGGATCTAAAAGAGTGTCCGACTTCGGTGAGGCAGTACGCATAGATAACGTTTGATGCATCTTTTCTAATAAGACCTAAGTTTATCCAAACCATCACTTTTCACTCAGACACCTGTTTCTTCCTGAAGCAAAATCTAACGCACACACACATGCATTCATCTCACCTCATGTTCAATCTTCACACATTCACCACAAGGTCTATTTGAGCAAGAACAAAATATCAACTGTTAAAGATTGTCCCACAAAGTTGCCAATGTTGATTGTTATTTCCCATGTTTGTCATTTCAAAAATCATTAGTTTAGTTAGAAGAATTAAAACTTTTAACTTTCAAACTTGTTTCTTCATTGAACTGAAACACAGACACACGGATATTATCGTCAGTTTATCGATGAAAACAACCTTTGAGTCTTCTTAAAACTATACAATTTGGTTATTAATTTAATAAAAATTAATATCACAAATTAATATGTAGAATGGTTCCTCTTTCATAAAAGAGCCTAACCCATAATGCTACAACATGTTACAGGTAATATGTGTCCACTTAAACATATAAAGACAAGTACACACACACATTCACACAGAGTGACCATTTCCAGAATACTGCACATACTACGACCATAGCTTGTCTTAGAAATGACAATTTTTAACAGACAATTTGATATTAAAACTTGTTTTCAAAAGCAAACCTGTGACTGAATGGAAGCTACAATGAAAATGAGAGTTTTTGGATGTGTGAATGAATATCAGAAGGTTTCTTTCAGCGAGAGAAGTGTTTCTGGGTGGAAAGTTGTTTTGCAGCTAACTGATGTTTATTAGAAGAAACAGCATACAGATGCAATCTGGCAAGAGTGTCTACCTCACCCATATCAGGAGACCCTCTTCTGGATCCGAGATGTCAGGTGGAGATGGTGTCCTCCAGGCACGAGGTTGGTAGAAGGACCTTAGTGCAACCAAATCGGTCCCGAGATGTCTCCGTGGGTCACTCGACTGGTGAAACTATTTGCGTCTCAAAATCAATAACTCTGATGGAGTTTTGCGTCAGCTGGAAACAGGTGCTTTTATTTGAAGCAATTCTATCGGCGTGACAGAATGCTCAGTAGAGATTCGGGCGGCCATCCCTCTTCTCCTGGTATGGTTCATGAACTGAACTTTTTGCTGCGGGATTTGGTTTTAACAAAACCCTCAGAACACGCCCTCTCAGCGTCAGAAAGCTTGGTCATGAAGTAAAGACATGTGATGGTTTTACCCTTTACCCTGGATCCCTTCTGAATGAGGCTGGCTAAAGTGCAAGATGACTTTCTGGTTTACTGAACACAAATTAGGATTATCAACCATAATTATTATTATACCCAAGCATAATAAGTCATTCCAGTAATTAAAATACATTTATACTGAATCAAGAGTTTATTTATGATGGTAGTAATAACAGTAATAAAGTCAAGAGATTATTAAAATAATTATTGTGAAACTTGAAGTGTCCTTCATCTTGGGACGGAACAGCAGCAGATAAAGATGGTTTCAGCAGACATCACGGCTCCTGGGGGGTTAATCTGTGGGGCAAAGTTACAGTCGACCCAGCTTGACCCAGCTGGGAAAATGTGACCTTTGTCACAAATTAGAGGCCATTCATGACGCTACACATAAGATAACACTCATTCATTCAGGACTGCAGATGTGAATTAGCTTCACGTTAAATCTGGTAAAATGCATCAAATTTCAATATGTATGTTTAATATTGTACACGGTCCTTAAATAAACATACATTCATCACAACTGTAGCTACATTCCTACCAGCATTATAAAGATCAATAAGCCACATAAATGGTAATAACAAGTGAAAGTTAAACATTTCATGACATAAACTTAACTAATAAAATTCTGCAGATAAAATTTCTATTTTCAGCTAAATTAATATTTATTGTAAGTAAATACTTCCGGGCTCGACTCCTGCTGTGGCTGTAAGCTTGTTGCTTGTAGAACGGCGTTGGAAAACAAAGCGTTTTTCTCCCCTCAATTCATTTATACTCTCATTTGACCTCAGCGGTAAGCGTTCTTAACAACTGCCAATAACACCCTTTTACTTGTCAGTGACCAGTCGATCGTTTTCGCTATAAAAAATGACCTTGTTCGGCGGAGTTCCCACCGCGAGCAGAACTCCGTTTCAAAAACACTGTTTTTGAAACACTTTTATTTACTTAAGCACTTTAATGGGCTTAACTTGAAACCAAGAGCAATCGAATGATTATTGTTATGTGTTGCCTTGAATTCGGCTATGCTGTCTGTCAGACAGTTGTTTTCCTTTATTGTTGTTTTTGTATTTGTTTGTAGCAAACGCTACTGGAATGTATAGATTGAGCTACGTAGCCAAGATGATTAATAATTGACCTGTTGTACATTCATGATATGTTTACCGGTAAACTGAATCGAACTTGATGTGCTAATGAACATTTCTCTGGCCTACAGGTCAGGTTTTTTCCCCATGTTGAACTGATCTTCTTCATATTGAAGTGGCGAGCTGGTAGGACCATTCTTTCTTTTTGGAATCGGGAAATGAGCTATTATTTACCCCATGAAAAACGGAGCGGCAGTGGGCCGCTGGAGGTGCCCCGCTAGTAAGATCCCGTTTAAACTGTAAACTGCCATAAAATAAAAACTATAATAGCTAGAGCGGTCTTTTTTTAGCTGAAAGTTGAGACTCTCGCCTTTCAGCACATCTGTACTGTACAAGTCGATGATGCCATCATGTTGCGCTCTATTTCAGTAGAACTTTGACAAGAGGTGAGAAGGTGGCCAGGAGCTGGATGTTGTATTCAGTTAGCAAACGTTGTTATATATACACTCCACGCAATTTGAAACAAAGTTTTAGGTGTAATGTTTTTTTCTTGTGTGTGTGTGTGTGTGTGTGTGGGGGGGGGGGGGGGGGGGGGGGGGTCACAGGGGGATCTCGCACAGGGCGCCATTTAGGCCAGCTCCGCCTCTGGGTATGCAAGCACATTACAGCGGTACTTGGAAACAGTTCATATTTCACCTCCCAGATGATGGCGTTCAGTGATTCGACAGCATTTGCTGAACCTTACTTAAAAATCTAAACAAAACAAAAACATTGGACTGTGATCTGTATTGCTTAATTAATTCACAAATGAATAAACCCACAGCTTTTATCAGTGATAATGGCAAAAAAATGCCTAAACCACAACTACATGAAAAAAATCAGAACAGGACAACCGCACTGATGGATATAACTGATTTTGACGTCACAGGGTTATTGATGTAACAGTGTAGGTGTTTGTTTAAACGAAGGGCCATCAATTTTGTTTTAAATTTTAGAGTGATGGAGAATGACCTATTTGATCACCCTCCTGTTATCTGTAACTTCCTGAGACTAGATGAAGGGCCAACAATCTGTTGATTAGGTTACCCCGGTCAGCTAGTTCTGAAGAACTGTGTGTGTGGGTTTATCTGTAACTTCTGGGTGTGCCTTCCAAAATAAAAGGAGCTCCAAGGCTTTGCCTAAGGTTGAGAGCAAACTAGCCTCCGTCTCTGGTGTGTATTTGATTTCTCTCACCCTTTGCAAAGTATTTGTTGTTGTTTGTTGTTGGCAGGATTACAATTTACCAAATTATCAATCTAATCCCTCTGTGTGTGCTCTAAACTTTCTTTGAGGTAATATGGGAGTAATATAAAAATTACCCAACACGCACGTTGCGCTACTGAGAGGGCGTGAAGCCTCGTTCACACAGAATACAGAACGCATGCAGAAGTGCTAAGTGTCTGTGATTAATTGTCCACCAGCAGTGATTAGTTGTGTCATCAGAAATAATGGGAATGTGGTTAATTTTCATGCTGAGCTGTTTGTTGGAGGGCTATGACTCAATCATGACAAAGTTTGAGTTAAAAAAGATAACCGGTTTATTACAATCTAGTCCATGTTAATACAAGCATCGGTACACCGGTGGAGAACCATGCAGCCCAAAAGTGGTTCTGTCTTTCCAGCATCTGTCCACTGCTTATAACTCTGCAACAGCATCTCTAAAAACTCTGGTGCAGGCACATTCCTAAGCCTGCTTATAATAGCAAAATGTTATTGTAGGAGAATGGAGTCTCCACAGAGTCGCCTTGTAATTTATGACTTCTTGACAACAGTCCCAGCTGTCTCTCCACAGCCTTTAAGGTGGGATTTCTTCTTAAACCGGGCGGACACTGTGCGACTTTTTCACTCGCAGGGTTCAGCTTCAGCTCAAACTGTACGACTTCCTCGCAGAGCAGATCTCACGAGTCGTGTGCTCACACTGTACGACCCAGTTCTTGGATGCGACCTGACTGCTCACACTGTACGTCTGGTAGCAACACGTCGGACCTAAAAATATGCTAAAAATAGCAATTTTTACACAACACGTCAGACTTTTTTGTCTTGTTTTGCCTGTTGTCCTTCGGGAGCGCTGCAGGAGGACACACAGGGATTTATGGGGGTTGGATGAGGAAAACGAAATAAAGAAAGTAAATCTGTGTTTTGTGATCAGTTTAATTTGACATGAACACGACAAACACGCTTTCTTGACAATCTTTGTGAGTAAAAAAAAACGTGTAGAAACAAAAACGAACAACGTGTGTTATTAGGGAAATAGCGAGCGAGCGGTGTTGATGCAGGATTGCGCAATGCGCCGTGAGCGGTTCTGATACTTTTTGGGTCGCAGCTGCTCGCAGTGCCGCTTCAACAGTGCGATACCCTCACGAGGGACGAGCGAAATATTAAACACGCCAGAAGTCCGTGCGACCTCACGACTGCTGATCGGCAGCTGGTCACGTGGTGTTAATCGCCTCTCGTAACCCCCTGTACACTACACGACCGCTCGGCGCAAAACTCGCCCCGATGTCGTGGATTCTCGCACGACTGGAAAATCGGCTCAACAAAGTGAAAAAGTCGCATAGTGTACGCCGCCCATTAGGGGCTCCAAATGAATAAAGACACATTCTTTTTAAGCTGCAGTTATTACAACATTGTATGCTATTACTTTATATACAGATAAATTATTTAAAGCAGATGCCACCGGTATCTAACAGCTTTAAATTGCAGTGGGTTATGTACTACAACCATCATGTGTCTATCTTGTCTGTTTCTTAAATACAGGAGGGTAAAACAGTTTTTTCTTAATATTTAAGTAATATTTTTTGTACTCAGAATTCATGAATGAACATCTCAAATGTTTGGTTAAGGTCTGAGATTAAAAAACAAAGGAGATTTGAAAATGAAAATCAAAAGAAGAGGTGGCTCAAAGGCCGAGTACGGACTTGATCAACGATACTTGAGCAGAGGTACAAGACTAATATTAAGGTTGTTAAAAAAAAACTAAATAGTACATTTGGAAGTACTGTTGTTAAATAAATCCTTCGAGCCTCGTGTGGATGCTCGTATGTCTCTTTAAATTTGTCTTTTGGCTAAATCTTTGTCCACAGAGCTCACAGGCAAAAGGCTTCTCTCCTGTGTGGACTCTCATGTGTGTTTTTAAACTTCCCTTTTTGGTACATTTGTATCCACAGAGCTCACAGGCAAACGGCTTCTCTCCTGTGTGGACTCTCATGTGATTGTTTAAATTTGACTTTTGGGTACATCTGTATTCGCAGAGCTCACAGGCAAACGGCTTCTCTCCTGTGTGGACTCTCATGTGTGTTTTTAAACTTGCCTTATGGGTACATCTGTACTCGCAGAGCTCACAGGCAAACGGCTTCTCTCCTGTGTGGACTCTCATGTGTGTTTTTAAACTTGCCTTATGGGTACATCTGTACTCGCAGAGCTCACAGGCAAACGGCTTCTCTCCTGTGTGGACTCTCATGTGTTTGTTTAAATTTGCCTTTTGGGTACATCTGTATTCGCAGAGCTCACAGGTAAAAAGCTTCTCTCCTGTGTGGACTCTAATGTGTGTGTTTAAACTTGCTTTTTGGGTACATCTGAATTCGCAGAGCTCACAGGCAAACGGCTTCTCTCCTGTGTGGACTCTAATGTGTGTTTTTAAACTTGCCTTTTGGGTACATCTGAATTCGCAGAGCTCACAGGCAAAAGGCTTCTCTCCTGTGTGGACTCTCATGTGTGTTTTTAAACTTCCCTTTTTGGTACATCTGTATCCACAGAGCTCACAGGCAAAAGGCTTCTCCCCTGTGTGGACTCTCATGTGATCATTTAAATGTGACTTTTTGGTACATCTGTATCCACAGAGCTCACAGGCAAACGGCTTCTCTCCTGTGTGGACTCTCATGTGTGTTTTTAAACTTCCCTTTTTGGTACATCTGTATCCACAGAGCTCACAGGCAAACGGCTTCTCTCCTGTGTGGACTCTCATGTGTGTTTTTAAACTTCCCTTTTTGGTACATCTGTATACACAGAGCTCACAGGCAAACGGCTTCTCTCCTGTGTGGACTCTTATGTGTGTGTTTAAATTTGCCTTATGGGTACATCTGTATTCGCAGAGCTCACAGGCAAACAGCTTCTCTCCTGTGTGGACTTTCATGTGATCATTTAAATGTGACTTTTGGGTACATCTGTATCCACAGAGCTCACAGGCAAAAGGCTTCTGCCCGGTGTGGTCTTTCATATGACGGGTTAATTTGGACTTTAGACTAAATCTTTTTCCACAGTCATCACAACTAAATAATTTTCGTTCTTTCTGGACTTTTCTACATGAGCCTCCATGTTGCTTCTCTTTCACACATTTTGTATTAACCGAACATTCTGAAGACTTTACTGCTGAATAACTTGTCACTCTCACATGTTTCTGAAGAGACCACTTGTGGAGGAACCGTATACCACACACAGGGCAGCTAAATGATTTGTTGACGGTCTTAATATCTGACTCCGAAGACTTGTTCTCATTACAGCCATGGTCTCCGTTTCCAGTTTCAGGCCCAGAGTCTGAACGCTCAGTGTCTAGATTCACATCATCATCATCTTCTCCACTAACTTCAATCTCTGAAGAATCGGATGTCTTTTCATTAGGGTCCAGATCTAGGTTCTTGATAGTTTCTGCTCCTCCACCAACTTTTGCTGACATCTGCCCAGCCAAGCTGCTGGTTGGGACACCTCCGTCTTTCATTTGATGGTTGTGGAAATGTAAGAGCAGAGGTTTCTCATCCGTCTCTTCTCTCTTCCTTGAAACTGCAGTGAACAAAGCAGAAATATATAAAAGAAAAATATTCAGTAAAAAGACAAGACAAAAGACCTAGGGGTGTTTTTGCAATCAGTAATATACATAACCGGTGTTGGTAAACACATTACTATTTATGGTAATGCATTACTTTAACAAATAACTATGAATCTAATGAGTTACTTTAAGTCCAGACATCACTATGCGATTGGTAGAAGAAAAAAAACGCTATCTGCTAATTCTGATTAACGCCTCTCAGAGCCGGTCAAACCAGCCGTCCGTCGCTGCTACTGTGGAGCCTAGAGATACCCTGACAGCAGCATCGCGTCGGCCCCTCCCTTCCTTTCCCTAACACTGTAGGCACGCAGCAGCAAAAATGTAAACAAATATATCTGCCGAACCTTTACTCCATGAGAGTGCTGTAAAGTTTGTATCCTACAACAAAATCACGGCGCGGAGGAAGCTCGTTAAAATGCGTCAAAACAGTAAATGTAATACGTGTTTTAAGAAGAAACTGTGGGTGGAAAGAGGTGAGATTCTAAAGGTTGGTTTATGCTTGACGCGTCCGCGAGGTCCGCGCGGAAAAGTTGCGTCATTTTAACAACCACGCCCCTCCACCGCGTCTCCGCACGGCCCAAGATTTCCGCAACGCGCACCTCGGAAAATTTCTAACCACGCGGACGGTCGGACGCGGAAAAACATGGCGGACCGGCACGGCAGAGGTTCGTAAATACAGACATTTGTATGATTCAGCTCTCAGAGATCACCGTGATCAACATGTTGTTAATAATTCTTGGAGAGAAATAGCTCGCACTGTCGGAAAAGACGAGAACGCTGTTAAAAATGCTGAAATACCATGTTTTAAACAGTGATTTCTACTGCTACTATGGTGTAGTGTTGGATGCATGCTGTAGAGCTCCATGCTGCCCCGTTCAGTTTGGGAGAATATTGGCTCACCGCAGAGACGAGCCGCACAAACCATAAAAGCTGCGAGTTGTGAAGGGCGTTCCATCCGCGAGCCGCATCACAGCGCGGAAAGTGAATGCGTCAAGCATAAACCAAGCTTTAGGCTCGCTGCAGAAATAAATACACAGAGCATCAACACTCGTCTGTAACCCATAAAATAATAATGAGCATCATGCTGCTAGATCAGCAGCTTGTGATGACAGTTAGTTCTGCTCACTAGGTCAGCTGACCTTAATCCACAAGATGGCTCATATGGCACTAGAATTCCAGATAAAGAGCTAGGAGCAAGGCCATTTAAACATTTGTAGGCCAGAACCAAAATCTTAAATTCAACACAGAACTGAACTGGGATCCAATAGAGAGGCAACAACTGGAATGATATGATCAAATCGACCAGTGCCAGTTTAAAGACGGGCTGCAGTATTTTGAACTAGCTGCAGCCTAGCAATACATCCATGATCAACATTAGGGCTGCACGATATTAGGAAAATCTGCGATATTCGATAACAGTGCTTAATATTGCGTTATCGATATTACTCACTATAAATGAACAAATACTAAAATATGCAGTGTTGATGTCGTCTGGCGTGTGACGTCTGCTCTGGGTTCAAAGCAAACAAAAACTAATGCTGTCACGCTGCCTTCCTCTCAGCCCTCGACATCCTCCCCCGGAGGAACCCACATACTTATTCAGCCCAGTCAAACTCCACTTCCCAGCATTCCCAGCGCCAGCCTTCCGGCTCACGTCACCCGCCACGTCTACATAAGGAAGTGCAGCGTAACACCAGATCAATCAGCCATCGATTCAAGATGGCGCCCTTGATCGGCTGCGTGTCTGCTCGGCTCCCGACCTTTTTTGTTTTTCTTTTCTATTCTATGGTTTTTCTTTTCTATTTTATGGTTTCCTCAATATATAGTGTTCATTCTCTGCTGGCGTATGATCGGGACTTCCTGCTCTCGATCCGGTCTGGAATGGACAACCTCCAGTATTCTACTGCGGGACCCGCTTTTCCACCGCCGCTGGAGACTGACGCTAACCTAACTTTAGGGCCCCATGCGTTCCCACCGCCGCTGGAGTCTGATATTAGCCAAGCCTTCAGGCTTGTGATGCCTGTTGGTTTGCCGCTGCCTCGGAGACCGTGGAGAAGGAAACGGGGGAAGCGAGGCGGCTTCTTCGTTCAGCTCCGAAGGATCCGGCGCGGCGAGGCCATATCGGAGCGCTGCTCCGTGACTGTGATGTGGCGGATCCAGCGTCATCTCAACTGTGTTGGGCCGATCTCGATGCTACCGGGAGCACACGGAACTGAATGTTCCATGGTTGCGTCTGAAACGAGGATGTCCTGCCGGCTGGGAGCTCTCGGAGCGCGTGGGATGTGAGGATGATTCGCCGGCCGGGTGCCCACGCGCGTTTCGGCTGCTCTCGTTCAGCCCGGCTCACTCAGCGGGGAAGAAATCCCACCAACCTGCGGTATGTCGCAAGATCTGATGGAAACGGACTTTCTCTACAATCGGATACTCAGTCGACTCACTTTGCGCTGATCAACGCCAGATCGGTTGTAAATAAAACTTTTATTTTAAAGGAATTCTTCCAGGACAATAGCCTGGATGTTTTATGCGCCACTGAATCATGGATCACCCCTGGGGATTCAGCCTCAATAGTCGAACTGTTACCTCCTGGATGCTCCTTCATTAACATTCCAAGAGCACATCGCAGGGGCGGTGGCCTATTGACTATATTCAAATCAGATCTTATCTGCACACCGATTACCCCTCAATCAACTCCATTGTCCTTTGAATTGAGCTTATTTGAATTGGGTCGTTCTCCTACATTATTATTTGCTCTCATTTACCGTCCACCACCTTACAATAAGGATTTTCTAAATGAATTTGCAGCTTTTCTGGCTGAAGCCTCCTGTAGATATGGAAAAATACTCTTGCTTGGTGATTTTAATATTCATATCTGCTGTCTTGACAAACCTTTGGTAAGGGATTTCCTAGATCTCACTGACTCTTTTAGCTTCTCCCAACGTGTTAATGGCCCCACACATGTCATACACACACACTTGACCTGGTTTTCTGTCATGAGCTGGAAATTTGTGATCTTGGCATTTTACCTGCAACTTTTTCAGATCTCACCAGTTTTGTTTAACTTGAAATTGGACTATGCCCCTCGTATTGAATATTTCCGTCCCAGCTTCTCTCGTGTAATCACACCCAATACTGCTGCAGATTTTGCCTCTGTTCTTACTCTGAACGCAGCTCCATATGATTCTACTGTTACGTCTTCTGTAGTTGAGGGATCACTTCATGTGCTTGATTCATCCTGCCTGGCTGCTATGGATATTGTCGCTCCATTAAAATCAAGTCGAAAGAAATCCAAGTCAGACCCATGGCTGAACGAACAAACTCGTTCCATGAGACGAAATTGCAGGAGACTGGAACGTAAATGGATAAAAGACAGGCTTACTGTATCCTTTGAGGCCATGAGAGAGGCTTGGTCTCAGTATCAAAAAGTAGTCAGAGGAGCGAGAAATCGATATTTTGCCAGCATTGTCACGGCTAATTCAAACAATCAAGGTGTGTTATATAAAACCATAAATGCAGTGCTTTCCCCAGTTCAAAATCTATTTTCCTCTGTGTCCGCTGACTTGTGTAGCCAAATCCTGCAGTTTTTCTTAAATAAGATTACTGTAATCAGAGCTCAGATTCACCAAACCAACCATGTTCCAGATTCATTTATCCCCTCTCACGGGCAACTTCAAAGCTTTCAGCCCATCTCTTTGGCCTGTCTAGAAAAAACTGTTGCAGCCATGAAACCCTCTGGCTCCCCGGATGATGTTATCCCACCTCGACTCCTGAAAGAGGTGTTTCCTTTAATTAGCAATAACGTGCTAGGCATTATAAATTGTAGCTTGACATTGGCTGAAGTTTCTCATGCCTTTAAACACGCTGTTCTACAACCAATCTTGAAAAAACCCGGCCTCGATCCCACCGATTACTCTAATCTACGACCAATTTCCAAATTACCGTTTTTATCTAAGGTCCTTGAGAAAACAGTCTATGCACAGTTGGTGAAACATCTAAATGAATATCAGGTAATGGACACCTGTCAGTCTGGTTTTAGACAACAGCACAGCACTGAAACTGCTCATGTTCGGGTGTTTAATGACATTTTTCTGGCTTTAGATTCAGGTTTCCATGGGGTTCTGGTACTTTTGGATCTATCTGCAGCATTCGACACGATCGATCATGACATTTTGATCACAAGACTTCACACTTGGGCTGGCATTTCAGGCACTGCCCTGGATTGGTTTAGGTCATACTTCTGTAACAGGTCTGCTAGGGTCATGTTGGACGGCTGTTCATCAAAGTCACAGCCTCTACGTTGGGGTGTCCCACAAGGTTCAATTCTCGGCCCGTTACTGTTCAACCTCTATATACTGCCCTTAGGAGCCATTTTCAGAAAGCACGCTGTCTCATACCATCTTTACGCTGACGACTGTCAAATTTACTTTTCATTTAAGCCAACTCAGTCAAAAAAGTTCTGTCTGATTGTATCCTTGAGGTCAAGCAATGGCTAGCTGACAACTTCCTCCATCTCAATGACTCCAAAACTGACTTAATCGTTTTCAGTCCTAACAGTATCACGGCAACTCAACAACCTGACCTCAACTATCTCTCACCTAATGTATCCACTGTAATCTCCAACCTTGGAGTAAAAATGGACCAGGCTCTGAAGATGGATGCCCAGGTCAATAACACAGTTAAATCATGTTTTTACCAACTAAGACGCATCTCAAAACTAAAGCACATCCTGAGTGTACGTCTTCTGAAATTGGTGGTCCACACTTTTATCACCTCAAGGCTGGATTACTCCAACTCCTGCTTATATAGCATCAGTAAAGCAGCTCTTTCTAGACTTCAGCTGGTCCAGAATTCAGCAGCTAGGTTGCTGACTGGAGCTGACAGAAGACAACACATTTCTCCAATTCTGAAATCTCTCCACTGGTTGCCCGTGCAGTTCAGGATAAACTTAAAAATTATG